ACGCTGTTTCATCTAAGAATTGGACTTTCCAAAGAAAAAAAATAGAAAGAAACACGAACCGCAACCCCAGAATTTAAGGTATAATATCCTTTTACTTCCATTTGCAACCAAAACATAATCGGCGTTTCGCCAGTGGGGCCTAAGTAATCTTTTTGAGGCAAACAAAGGTTTCTTTTCTAGGTCAGAACACACAGATACACGAAATCCTTCGCTACATATTAAATCTCGGAACGGAATATATTTGTAAATCAGGTTCTTAGAGCGGTGAACACCCAAACTCAGCTGAAAACGGGTCACGTTGCACAATCGTTCCACGGAGATCCCAAATTTAGCAATGCTGCTTCACTCTCGGGCAGCTCGATCCGGTCAGCAGGACACAAAGGCGCCTTTCCTGGCTGATTGCGCCACGCGAAAAACAACGTAATCACGGTGATTAACGAGAAAACCGTGTCCCCAGTGTCTTCGCGGCAGCATAGGGGGGCCCGAGGGCTGGGTGAACGCGTGACACGTATTGCAAGGGAGGCAGAGACAATGCACGGATCGATACGCAAAGCGGCGATTTGAATACAAGCGCGCGTTGACACGCCAAACGCGGCATACCTTCGCTTTCTTTCACGGTGAGCGAATCTGTGGCTCGTTCGCTGAAAGACATGTTTAATAGAGATACATCTCTCTATACGAATCATACTGGCGAAGTCCTACCGATGGGCTTTTATACTCATTAAGCCAACAAAATATCAAAGAGTAGAGACACTGGCAGGAATTAAAGTCGTGAAGCTATTAAAAAATGGCAGAACATCACATGGATATGGATATTTTCACATAATAAAATACGAACTCATAGTACAGTGTGCTAGTGCTCTAAATGAATAATATTATAGGTTTCCATTTTATTACGTAAAACACTCGACTTCGCTATAATTGTACCCCTTCTACTGTCCCCCAGGTCCTTTTATGGCGTTTACCTTGTCCCCACATCCGGTATTGCCAGTCCCTAAGTGTCCATTTTTTCCTTACACCTGACATCACAGTCCACGGGACAACATCCTCGCAGTCAGAAGAACCGAGCGAAACTTGAAGCGATTAAAAGATGGTGGTTCGATTTTTTTCTGTTTTTCCCTCCATAAACTGGTATGCAGTTTTAAAGCCTATACGACCACTGCAAGATAGCTGGCATAAGCGAAACGCGATCGACGATGATCCGAGCATCAAGTATTTAGGAATGGTTAAATAGCACAGATCATTGAATCGACCTCGAACCGGCAGCGTCGCAATCGTTGACCTTGACAAACGGCAAGGCAGACGGCTGGCAACGCGACGCTACGGAGCGTCTCACTGTCGAAGAACTGG